CAAGGAAAAGACAAACATACAGTTAGTCACAAAAGTATCCGCCCGGCCTATTAGCATAATACATTTTACTTAGATAAGTAATATTAAAGCCAGAATTATTAATTATGATTTACGCTAACATAAACTTTGCTTAATGTGCTTTAAATTAGTATAAGTTTTTTAAAGAAATTATGTACAATTTACTTAAAAACACGTTATTAATTGTGAGTATAATAGAAAAAGCAAAACAAAAGTATTCGACCACCAGAGAATGGCTTGAGAAAATCATCGTTTTTTTTCATTTCTTTCATTTTTTTCGCTCTTCTATTGCTTCTGTGACTTCCATTAGGTATACTAATTTAATTATAAGAAGTCTGACTATCAGTGTAGACGCATTAAGCAAAAGGATACCAAAAACCAGAGAGATTTCAATACCAGAAAGAAAACTAATTATTTCTCTATTTAAAGATGGAAAATCTCAACGAGATATAGCAGATACAGTAAAAGTTCTATAAAAGTTCTTTCGGATCTACCCCATGAATGTTCATGGTCTATCCCCACCACAAGGGGGGATCAGGCAAGAGACTAATGTGACACGGCCGCGGCATCTCTTTATCGCATTGGCGTCAGCATGTCCGTGAGACAATACTAATAAAACTACAAAAGTTTATTATTTTCAATTTTTCGTTAATAAGAATTTCATCAAAATATTGGTGAGATTTTCCTGATTAAAATGATACCAAACACGATATTGTTACAAAACTTGGTTTTGTCGATTGGGGCTTGTGAATCTTCCTTTGCCCGCTACGTTCATTTTTCACTGTTTACATCACAGAATGTAACACCATTTCTCATAAATGTGCCAAAAGGGAACATTTATCCAGACTAGAACTGAACCTATCCGGTTATTCTCGAATGGGCCACTCTTCTACACGATAATTGTTCGTAAGCGGCATTGCCTTTGATCAATTATCGGATAGGAAGAAACGATTTTTGACCTTTGACGAGTTTAAAGGACATAAGAATACACATAGGAGTTGTTATACTAAAGTTTACACTACTCAGGACTCTTCACAAGCAGTTCGCAAGCAGTTTGCGAACAATTGTAATTTACTAATACGTTAAAAATTTTACGGAATTACTAGGCAGCGTTTTTGATGAGTGTGTGAAAAAAATTAAAGAGAAAAAAGTGATACTATTTTTTGCAAATAATATAATAACGTATGTGAACTTTTTGTGTTTGTATTATTTTTTGGGAAATGAAGATGATATTTAATTTTTTAAACAGAATTTAAATCCTATTCTATGCTGACTAGTAAATCCGTTAACATTCTGTATAATTACAAATAGGTGCAAGTTGTAGTTTTGTAATTTTTTGTTAGTTTCATTAATTTTAGTAATTCTTTTGAATTTTTTGACTTTTTGTAATTTTTTAATTTTGCATAACTTTGTAATATCCTGTAATTTATTTAATTTCTTATAATTGCTCCTACATTTTTTAATTATGTATCATCTTAGAATTTTCCATAATGTTTTGTAAATCCTTATATGTAATGTTTTTTAGGTGTCTTATATTTAATAGATATAGTAAAGACATAATAAAGTGTGTATTTAATAAAGTATTAATTATTTATAGAGAGGACGTAATTATGTGTGTATGTACATATGCATGTGTGGAATTTCTTATTAAGTCTCATTTTAATCAGAAAAAAAAATGGATATGTCAGTAAAATTTTTATCAGCAAAACACAAAAAGCAAAAAAGTTTTTCTTTTGCATTAGTGTTGTCTCACCGATATGTAGGTGTTTGATGTTTAGGACTGGCTCGAGTTTCAATACCTCTCTCTTCTTTATCTGCTGTCTCTTTCTGCGTCCGTCGGTGTCGGTAAAATACAAAGAGTTTGAGAAACGTACCACCTTTTTCGTAGATGTTTCACAGCGGTCCCGACTTTCCAACTTTTATAGAACTTTTACTATAGTGTTAAAATATCACGTAGTACAGCAAGAGATATCATAAAAAGCTATCAAATTAGTAACAGTGTAATTAATCAGCCACGTATTGGTCGTCCTAAGATTCTAGACCAACGAGAGGAACGCAAAATAATTAAGAATGTTGTGAACAATCCGAATATTGGTGCACACGATATCCGTAAAGAGGTTGAAGACGTTAGTAGAAAAACTGTAAGTACAGAAACTATTAGAAGAACAATTAGAAAAGCTGGCTATCACAGCCGAGTTGCCAGAACGAAACCATGGATTTCGGAAAAGAATAAACAAAAACGAAGAGAGTTTGCTGAAAAGTATCTAACCGTTCCTAACGAATTCTGGAATCGTGTCATATTTAGTGACGAGTGTAAATTTGAAGTTTTCAATTCATCGGGCAAAAAAAAGGTGTGGAAAAAACCAAGACATGAAATGGATAAGGAAAATTTACAACCAACTGTGAAATACGGGAGTGGTTCCATAATGGTGTGGGGATATATGGCTGCTTCTGGCGTAGGAAAGTTACATTTTATTGACGGTACAATGGATCGTTTTGTATACATTGATATATTAAAACAAAATTTAAGAGAAAGTGTAGAAAAGTTGGGATTGAAAGATAATATAATATTTGCTTCCAACAAGATAATGATCCAAAGCATTGCGCTCGAGTTACACGCGAATAGATCCTTTATAATGTACCCGAACGCTTAAATACACCACCCCAATCACCTGATGTGAACCCCATTGAACATTTATGGGCCGCATTAAAACGTGCTGTATACAAACACAGACCATCCAGCAAAGAAATGCTCAAAAATATTTTGGTAGCAGAATGGGACAAAATAAGTCCAAATTTCACGAAAAAACTAGTTGACTCCATGCATAATACGAGAGAGATAATACGATCGCGAGGGTGTCCAACAAAATACTGATCTATTGTAAATAAGTTTATGTTAAATAAATATTGCTTTTGGGCGAATACTTTTGTGTGCCTTTTTTTGTCTTTCCACAATTCATAATACGTTTTTGTGTAAATGGTACATAATTTCTTAAAAAGACTTATACTAATTTAAAGCACATTAAGCAAAGTTTATGCTAGCGTAAATTATAATTAATAATTCTGGTTTTAACATTACTTAGATACGTAAAATGTGTTACGCTAATAGGCCGAGCGGATACTTTTGTGACTAACTGTATAGTTATAATGATAGGGTCTGTAAACTCTTTTAAAGCTACATAAATTGGTTTCGTGGATATCACATCTGCAGATGAAGTCACTTGTGCATTTCCCAAATATGAAAAAAATGATAGGCAACGCTGAAATTGACTTATCATCATTTGTTATCAACCTTCAATTACTTCAAGACTAGTTTGAAATGCGGTTTCAACAGTTTAATATCATTGAGCCTGTTAGTTATATTCAGAGTAATCGGTAACGCTCTCTTCAGTTTATTGACTTTGTTTTTCAACTGTTACTGTTACCAACGTGGTTTTGAGCAATGCTCTTCTATATATTATATTATAGCGGTGGGATTCATTCAATCCCTGTGCCATATCTTATCTCCTTCCGGTGACGCAATCGTCGGCGAACGCAGCGTTCCCGACGTCCTGTCTGGTTTACGCGCCGCTTTCCCACTACTCAAGCGCTGCGCCCGCCTCAACCGAGCTAAGCAGGAGTTATCGCTCCCCCACTCCACACGCATTCCCAATGCCGCGAGAGCGCCCGCTGAACGCTCAGTCCTACGCGACATACCACGCCGGCAACACGTGTTAAAACGATTCGGAAATTCGCGCACCTCAAGACGTACAGTTAGCAAAGAGTGCAGAAAACTTCTATCGTAGAATATTCCCCGGTGTACCGTTAACCACGCGTTAGGGATGGGTCGTTTTTAACGCATAGAGCATTCCGCACTTTTGTAGCGACGAAATCGATTTTATTTGAATTTTTCAATATCAAATTCAATAGCAGAAGCAAATTCCTTTGTTATAATGGCAGAGAAGAACTCCGTTCCGGCGCAAGTTGATGGTGAATTAAAACAGAACCGTGACGCACGTAGGATGGCGAAACACATCGGCGACAAAGAATTCAAGAAGGATTGGAGTAGCGAGAAAGAAGATCAGTATCTTGCACAGCCCCATCCGCAGAGTGAACAACGCCGTAATAGAAACCAAGGACGTGCCAGCACTTGGAGAAAGAAGCAGCAATCCAATAAGACTGCATCCAAGCAGACGACAACTACCCCGGATTTGACGCAGTACATGTCAACTAGTTCCACCGCATTAAGAGATGATCCAATGTATAATTTTACACAAGGATCGCGGCAGGTATTTAAGCGTAAGTGTCAGAACGTTGAGCATTCTAGCTTTCCTCAGTTGTGTGACGCTACCTACCGACAGTTGAGGGGGTTTGCCCCGCGTCTCCAACGCGAAATGCCGTACCCGATATTCCTCCACGCGATGAACACTGTGCTGCAAACCTGGCTGCTTGATACGGCTAGGAATGTTAATCAAGAGATAAGATGGCAAGACGAAGAACAACCAATGTCAGCCATTCCACGAGAGATGATTATTCCTACTCCGATAGCGGAATATTTGTCCTTGATTAATAATAATATTATACCAAACGGTGATACCATCAGAATTAATATGGGATGAGGGGATGAGCAAACCGCCCCGGAACCGGAAATAGTCGACCTATGTGACAGCTCCGATGCCGAGACAGTCATCGTCCCGCGACCACAGACGCCCGTCGAGATTTTAGACGCACGGACCGCGCTCAGCGTTTTTAACCGTTTGACTGCTGAGGAGCGCTATCGCGCTCTTCTTATGTTACGCCAAAAATGCGAAGAGCGCGATAGCGCTCCTGTTTTGTTGAATGCCAAGACTGCGGAGAGCGTAATAATGCTACTCCAAAACACTAGAATTTGTACGTCCAGTGAAGCACGTTGCGTTTGCGGAGCATACGATTCTTAATTGTTCTAATAATATTACATATTTCAAATCTACATTCTTTTTTTGTGTTAAATAACGGTGTAAACAATGCCTGATATTTGGAGTGAAACTGACTCGGAATCGTGGACTGATGATGAAGTGCAAATTTGTGATAACGAAAGTGATAGCGGAAGTGATATTATTATTCCTAAAAAGAGATTACGGGCTATTAGCGAGAGCAGCGATGACGAACTAAGTGGAGACTGCACCGAACATGCCTCTGTTGATGAATTTTTGCATTTGGATTCATGGTATTCGAATGAAAAGTTTTACTTTACGGAGGTTCCTGGTCCACAACATCCGCCTGATCCTGAAGCAAAACCAATTGAATATTTCTCCATATTCTTTTCGTTTTCCCTACTCTCTACAATGGTTACTGAAACAAACCGGTACGCTCATCAGTTTTTGAGTTCCAACAACACTTTGAAGCGTCACTCACGTGCAAAAAAATGGAAACCTGTTACCATAGTAGAAATGAAAGCATTTATCACTGTTTTATTGGAAATGGGTATTACTAGACGTCCAACAATGATGTCCTATTGGAATACAGGCTCAAGGCAAATACCGTGGTTTGGAAAAATGTTTCCTAGGGATAGGTTTTTACTGATCATCAAGTTTTTCCATCTGGTTGACAATACCACTTTGGCACCACCAGGACATCCGGATTACGATCCATGTGGAAAGTTTTGCTTTCTTGTGGATTATGCCAATAAGATTTTTCGTGAACAGTATACACCGCACCAACAGTTGAGTATCGATGAATCACTGGTGGGTACTCATTGTCAATCGAGTATAAAACAGTACCTTCCTAATAAAAAACACCACAAGTGGGGGATCAAATTTTGGGTCCTTTGTGATTCTGTTTCAAAGTATTGCTTAGGATTTCTGTGTTATCGAGGCGCAAAGTCAACCGAAAGCAAGGAAGAAATAAAAAAGAATGGATTGGGATATGTTGTTGTTCAACAATTATTAAATTTAGGGAATTATTTGAATAAAGGATTTCATGTTTTCACCGATAACTTTTTCACAAGTATCCAACTAGCAAAAGTATTATTGCAAAAAAATACATATATAACCGGTACCATCAGAAAAAATAGAAAAAACGTCCCAAAGGAGGCTAAATTTGCAGATGTTGGTAAATCTAAATATTTTGAAAGCAATGGAATTCTTATGTGCTCTTATCGAGAGAAAAAGTCTCAAAGAAATCCCGTCATATTAGTTTCAACGAACTGCACCACAGATAACGTAGTCGTTACAAAGAAAAGAGGAATTTACGAGTCAGAAAAGACGAAACCTGCTGTTGTTCATAATTACAACAAGTTCATGGGTGGTGTAGACGAAGCAGATAAAATGCTTTATGCATACCTGGATGAAAGAAGAACAATGAAGTACTGGAAAAAAGTTGCATTCAACATTATTGGAAGAATGGTCTTAAACGCCTACATAATATACTCCGAAAATTATAAGGGTAAAAAGCTAACCAGGTTACAGTTTGTTTCAAATATTATTGATGAAATTGAAAAGGAATGGTTCGCAAACAGAAACAACGCATATAAACAACCTACGTCATCTACACCAAGCCAAATATTTAGTCTTGAAAAGCTACCTGGACGAAATTTGCGGCGATGTGTGGAATGCAGCAGTAAACATGGTGGAGAAGTTAAACGTTCAAACCTAATTTGCTCTATTTGTAAAAAGGGAATTCACGCGCTCTGTATAGCAAACCACCCGTGTAAAGGATTATAAGAGATTATTTGTGTTAATTTGATTGAACTATAAGTGCTTATTACGAATTTTACTCACAAAATTAATTAAAACAAATTTATGTAAAGAATTGGTATTTTTTGATTGTTGTTGTTGCAAAGCAATACAAGTGAATTTATTGTATGAATAGTGTTTTACATTTTTTCCCATACACGCGCATTTAGTGCCGCAGTTTTGGCATATGTCCGAAAAAATACGTCAGCAGCCAAACGGTTAACCACGAAAAAAATTCTGATTATAATTATAAATATTTAAAATAAAGTTATAGTTCTGTGCAATTCTGATAAAGCCAATGGTCATCTTTTTTTTATTAATCCTTTTACTTGCCAAGTAAATGTAACCGAAATAGCTGCATACATTGCAGAATTTGTTCAAATAAGGACAGAAGAACTAGAGCTAGAAATTTTGGATCTTCAGAACGACATTGTCCTAAAATCCAATGTATCAAATGAAAACTTTTGGAATATAGTTGACAGAAACGGAGGATGTTAAAAAAGTGCCTAATTTATAGCAGTTTAAGCACCTAAAATTTTAACGAGGCATCATTCTATCTAAGGCATCATAAACGCACAATTATTTATCTCAAATGTGATGGGAATGTTATAAAAAATGTAGATGAAGTTGACGGTACTTCAAAATTCGAATTGAAACTTTCTGACTTCAAATGATCATAACTTCGAAATGAATGCATGAAATGAAAAAATTCAAACGCTATTCTATAGAGGAAAGTCAATATTTATATAGTGTGTAAAAAAATATTGCTCAAATTGGTAATTAATAACAATAAAACGCGAAAAATTAAGATAAGGTTCCGTAAAATATGTTCGTTATTCTACTATAACTTACTTCTAAAACAAGATGAAATGCATCGAATATGAAGAATTGTTATATTTCATCCTTCTCTTCTTCAGATGACATTTCTTCGGTAAACCTTTGGTTGAGGAAGTTAGCAGGTGAATGTGTGTACGTCTGATGTCGAGCAAACCCTAAGTACCATAATACTGTTGCAACGTGTGAACAACACCCCGCTACACGTTGGCCTATTTTG